CCGCTCCGTGCGGGGCTATCTCCGCTCAGCGCTGTGCCCACGCAGCCGGGTACCATCCGCAAGGCTTCCCACGAGAGGGCAGCACGTGGCCCCAGCCAAGGCGGATCCTGCTAAAATCCTGCCGGCAAACAACGGGTGTGTTTGGATGAGGTTTCTGCAGCGGGACCCTAAAGCAGCTGAAAGTGGGGCTTTGTTACCCGAGCAGCTCTTGGGCCTCAGCACCGCCTCTTGATCAATCGTTTGGAAGGGGAGGGGGTGATTTATGAGTCACCTCGTATTTTGAGTAATTCTGTTTCTACAAAAGGCAAATATGGGGCCAGAACCCGGGCTGGAGGGCTAAATATTGCTGCCGCTTTAAGCTGCAGGGAGAGGAGACCTTCTGAACCGGGTTCTGACCATCCAGCAAGGCCATTCGCCCTTCTCTTCCAAATTACAGGTGAGGAAATGTGTGGGTTGAACGCTGTTGATTTCCAGGCGGAGTAAACCTCAAAAGAACCTGGAGGAAATGGACTGTGAATGTGCAACTTCAGTTGCTGTTATTTACTTCTGAGAACTGCCAGCGATTCTGGCACTCTGCCTGGCCACATCACTCCGGTGACTCAGTTTTTACAGATGTCAATAATGGACTTTGAACATTTGTCTTTGAAAATGGAATTGTGTGTGTAGTCAGCTACCGATTTCCGGCATCGTTTGGTTGCTCAGCTTGATCACAGCTTGATTCCTATCAGTAGCTGGACAGACGATCCTGCAGTAAATTACACCCAAGGTAGGGCACAAACACCTCAAAGCACCGTGTGCCTCGTCATTCCTGCCCACAGCGCTTATGCTCCTGCTCTCCTGGGGCAGCTGCCTTCCTTTTGGGAGCTCAAGCATCCTTCAGTTGATCAGACTTGAAGGAGGAGACATTTCACCAAATCACAACACGGCAAACACAACCTCTGTGTTAGGAGAGCCGCATTGAAGCCCTGCTGACGATTCAGCCCTGCTGAGCAAATATTAGCCCTGAGTATCCAGTGACATTTCTGACTAAATCTTAGCCATCGAGAGCTGCTGCAGCTCTGCGTGTGCTGTGGCAGGAGGGTACAATGGGAGTTCACTTATACTTGCAGCACTTGAGAGTCTTGGCTTCGTAAAATAAACACAAGGGCTCCACTGAGGTGCGAGATCCTGTGTTTCACTAACACCGTGGTGACCTCCTCTCTAATGCTGATGTAAATAATATTTTTTTTTTCTTAAATGGATACTGTAAATATCTTAGGAATCTCAGATTTTGATTTCTTTCAATGTTCCAAAAATAAAGATATTTTGATACACTTGATGAACTTAGGATCTCAATGTTTAAAGTTCCAAAATGTATATATTTTCCCCTTATAACATTCAGGCACTGAGTTCACTGAATATTGGTCTGTTGTGAAACCAGAGCAATTTCAGACTCAATAAAGAACCTGTACAAAACAAGCTACCCACTTCTCCTCTGAAGGAAAGGAGCAAAGCTGTCCTAGATCCAAGCTCCATAAGAAAGTGGAAATATTTGCCAAATGAAATCCCTCTATGAATACTCCTTTAACTGGTAGTGGCAGGAAAGTTTCACAGTCAGTCTTTTGAAAAGTATAGTAAGAATGTTGTTCCTTGGTGAATCCCACATTGGCACGAGTTGAAATAAGCACCTGTTCTTGGGGCTTTCACAGAAGAGCTGGGATATTCCAATTTTGTTCAGCTCACTTGCTTACTGCATCACTGGAGTTTGTTATTTTTGTCACCAGCACCTGGTAAACTGGGTAAGCCATAGAGGAACTCTTCAAAAGGCAGTTCTGTTTCAGGGCTGACCTGAATTCATCCTGTTCTAGAGACAGAGTGATCTTTTATTTTTTTTCCCCCTGCAAGGTTTTAAATTATGTTCTGAGATTTGTCTTCTCCATGAGGTAAATTCCACCGAGTTTCCTTGAGGAGTTCCCCCTCCCTCTCCCAAAGTACTGCTGTTTAGGAATCATTCCACCCACTGCAAAGCATCTGGAATGAAAAAAGCCTCTG